AGATATGTAATAAATTATTATGAAAATTAATGAATCTTGAGGTGTGGTCAGAGTTGGTGAAATATATATAAATGGGTGCTTAGGCAACCTAAAGCGTAGGTGACAGGAGGAAGAAGCCACGTGACCTGCTGCTGAGAGAACTCCTGACCTTGTGTTATTGTTTTTAACCTTCTCCAAGTTTTAGAAGAAAGACTAAGTGTCACGATAGTTTAACAAGTAGTATTTTGTTGTATCAAAAACTATATAAACCAATTGAAAATTAACCTGGTAACCTTCTTCGTTATTTTGTTATGTTTATTTTTGCCAGTGGAAGCATTCTTTGTCCTTTTGTAGCATGGTACTACCGTGGTTCAAATCAATGCTCAAGTACAGACAAAATTCAGTCTTCACTGCTAACCATCAGTTGACTGGTGGCAGTACTGACCTGTGTAGGAAGGACACAGAATTGAGCTGGGCCGGCTGTGTTATACACTCAGTTGTTGGAATATAGTATACAAGTGTTTGCTTATATACGTGGATTGATCTAAGAATGTGTATCAAAAACAAACTGAATTTCTTACTAAAAAATGCCATTAAAACAAGAAAATGACTCGAGCTCAAGAGCCCCTGGTCTAATTTTAATGAAATTTGGCACTGCACTTCACAGGGATTCAAAGCACAATCTTTCTTTTATGTGCTGTGTCAACTTCAGGACATAGGTGATCATGGCCCTCCACCTCTTCCAGTTTGTTGTAGCCCTTAATAAGTATTCTCTTTTTGTGATTTCTCCCAAACCCTGTTTAGCCATCCATTTAATCAAGCTCATCAAATATGTTAGCTGTTTTCCTCTTTCCCTCAATCTGCTCCGTGAGTATCAGATTTTCCGAGCCCTCCTCCCTCATTAAAAGCTCCAGAAATTTTAAGTGCTTCTTCCTGATGCTAAGTATGAGATTCTCCTAAATTGTTTGGTGTGTTGTGTATCATTTAAGCTGTATCTCAAGAACACATATATATATATTTTTTTATATATATATATATATATATATATTCTTTTAATAGTATTTTTTGAAATGGTAACTGCTGCTGCAACTATAGGATTTGTGTGTGTATATGTTAATCAGAATTTTTTTTTTTAATATATTATAAAAGGATTGAAATAAATGCAAATATGAATATACAAATGAAAAGCAGTTTTTATGTTGCAAACTGATATTTCTGCTGAAAATTCCTCTTAAATTCTTTTCTTTTTTTTATTCTTTGGAATTTAATATCAGGATCTAGTTTAAGACATTCATGAAGTTTTGAATTTAACCATTTTCTTGTAATCTTTAAAAAAAATTTATAGTCATGTATGTTGGCTTGGGAAAGGAGTATTTCTTTTAGAAAAGGAGATATTTGAAAACATCCGGGGCACAAATTTATATTTTGGCAAGATTCAAACCTCCATAAATTATAAGTTAATTAAATTTTATTTTAAGCTGATATCCATTCAGTTAGGATATCTTATTAATAGTTTTCAAATAAAAAAGATTTTTATTTTGTCTGAAACTGAAAAAGAAATAGAATATTCTTTAATAATGTCTGCTATAATTTGAACTTGTCTAACTTGTTCATTTTACCAAATCTTAATTTATATAGATTGTTCTTATTTACCAAGTTATAAATAAACAAATATGAAAATATTTTTTTATTCATAAATTTATAAACATTTACTAAATTATTAAAATATGTGAACCATCTATAAAGAAATCCTTATTATTTACCATTTTATAAAGTTTGAATCAATTGGCAATTAGTTGATGTTTTATCAAACATATCAATAAATAATAAATCATTTAAATAATCAATCTAATAATGTGTATTACTTTTTGCTGTCAAGTCTCAAGAACAAAAAAATGTATAAATTCACTTTCATGTGTTTAGGTTTTATTCCAGTTTTCATTATCACTTTTTAAAACAAACATTGCCGAGGAGTGAAGGTAGTTAAACTAGTAGTGGTGTCAAAAGAAAACTGTCCTTTTGACACTCCATTTTTTTTTTTTTTTTTTTTTTTTTTTTTGTGAGTACAAAGGTCCATGTTTGTAATTTTTTATGGGTCATATGCTAGTATAGAGTTCTAAAAAAAAAAAAAAAAAAAAATTAACTCAGGTGTTAATCTGTCATTCTGATGTTAGTTAAAATGTCACTATTTGGGTGTCATTTAAGTTGGGCAGTGGATTTGTCCTTCCTCCAACTTTACTACAGTTACCAAACACATCAACAATTTCACACCGGTGGCGCTTGCCTTGAAAAGTTATCTTGTTTCCAGCTGAGTAAAAGAAATTCTTTGTTGATAGTTGAATTTCGACATTATATTAAACAATTCTTGTTTTGTCCAAAGTCACTACAAACTATAGAATTACATTTGCATATATCGAAATCTGAGTATTTGATTGTGCTGAAATCTATAACTCTGTTTATTGTATCTGTCTATCTTGTTGGATAAGGATGTACACTGTTATTGGTCCGTCAAGTCACCTTGCTGTCTCTGTCCTGAAATCACCTTGATTTTGTTTTTAACTTCTGGGCTGGTAAGTTTAAATTAATATTCAAACACATTACTAAACGCTAATTGCTATTTCTACGGGCGAAATTATTTTATGTTTAAGATATTTAAAATGTGATTAAAACAAATTTTCCTGATTCTATTTTTTTTTTTTTTTAACTTTTCTTTAAGTCTAGAATTTAACATTTACAGGACATATTGAAAAAGAGAAACAAACATCAAATAACCTACCTGACAAATTTTCTGTGGCTAGATATCAGAGTGGGGGGGGAATGGGAATATTAGCTGTTTCCCTATAAGGAAATTTTTCAGGCTAACAGGTTTCTCAAGTACTGTAACTATTATTGCTCTTTCCAGTATTGATGAGGGCTTCTCTCCTACCTTTTTATTTGAATTAGTTTGTTTTCTACAGCTTTTCAACCCTTTGAAAGTTATTTAAGACCAGAAAATATCTTGTGTATTAACTGATAGGTAGAGGGAAAAGAGGTAGATTCGTACCTTTCCCCAAGGGTATTTGCACACAAGTGAATATAATTAACCCAATGGTAATTAGAACTCTGCTCCCCCGATTAAAAATTTCAAGCTATTATCCATTAAACCATCTACATACCACCAGATATTCCCAAGTAGTCACCCATCTAGTTACTCACAAGGCTCGATGTTACTTAACCATTTTCTTTGAAGTAGTGTGGAATGTTAACATTGATTATGCCATTATTTTCTCTTCAAGTTGCATGTGCTATCCAATTTAGTGGTTGCTAGTGTTGGAAGTCCACAAGACATATGATTTCTGTTATTTGGAGTGGGTGGTAAAATCAATTCTTGCTCAGGGCAACAAGAGGGAGGAAGTTGTGGAGTGTCATAATCGCCCATTTCCTGAAGGGATATATGATCATTTACTGTAATTTAGCTATATTACATGGATGTTTAATATTGAATTGAGTGAAACCTAATAACAGTAGTACTAATACACACACACACACACACACACATATATATATATATATATATATATATATATATATAGTAAAGGTAACAAATCCATTGGTATATAATCCAGGTGTATCCTAGTAATATAAAATATTAAAACTGATCCACAAAAAGAGCTCAATGTATTTATTAATACAGAGCAATATAATTAATCAACAATAAAATCCCAAATTACCTCACATGGGGAATAGCCTATTTTGGCAAACAAAGATATTGGTCGTCTGTCTTTTTAACCCCTGTGTAGACTGGGTTTGTGTCAGAAAGAAAAATTTAATCATGAAAGCTGAAAAAAAAAAATTATATGAAAAATTATGATGCTTGCATTTGAATATCTGCTGAAAAATGGAAACAGATTTTATATCCATAGGCATTTATTTTTTAAACATAAACTTAAACTCCAGACAACTCTTATGAGATATATATCCGAATGTAATGAGAAGAAAAATATATAAATTCTGTTAACAGCATTAATTCAAAAGAGGGCTCAATACTGATAGAGCAATAATTATTTATTATAATTTTTTCCTAGGGACACAAAACAATTTACTCACGACAAAGATGTAACTTTGTTTCAGTGCATTTAGTTGCACCTCGGCTGGTGAGAATCAAAATGGTTATGAACAATTTTGTTTGTAAGCAGGCTGCATGTGGGACATCACTTCCATTTTTCTATTTGTTTAAAAAAAAAATAGGTACATTTTAAGAGGAGTTATAAGGATAAAGAAATGTACACATTTTGCATAATTTGCCTGTGAAATTTGTTGTGTTAAAACTATTGTTCTGAAAATTGAGTTTTAACTGTCTTTGGGCTTATTAATATATAAAAACCTTATATGGGCATTTGATTCTGAGAAAAGGATTAAAATATTCAAAATTGATGGGTGTACAAATAATTTAATTATTGAATTTATATATATTTATTATATGAGATCTCTCTCTCTGTATGTATGTATGTGTGTGTGTGTGTGTATATATATATATATATATATATATATATATATATAGGAAAGCACATTAGAACAATTACCATGAAAATATTTATAGAAAAAGCACAGGGAAGCTACCATTATGATGGTGGGAAAAAGATTGAAGGTCAGGACCAATAACATTGTAGATTCTTCTTTTTGGATTTTTATCAATATGACAAGTTTATACATTGTTAAAATCTACCCAGCTGGGTTTGCTTTTGAAAAATCTTGGTTAATCCTATTTTGCCAAAAAATGACTATTTTATTACTAGAGTGATTGTCTATATTTTAGTCTTGTCTGGTCTGAGTAATTATGTGAATGATTGTTTCAGACTCTTGGGGGTCAGTGACCACTCAATGATGGAAACTGGTAGATTCTTAATAAAACTAGACAGCCAAAATGCTTTGTTTATTTTTATTCCTGGTATATATGAATTATACTTTATAATTTATATAATTCTATTATACTTTTGAAAAAATTTAATATAATTTGGAAAACCTTTTTTTCTTAATTGCAGCCACAATACACAGCGAACAACTTTTATCCACCCTTTAACAAGAAAGGCAACATCCCCACCCTTCAATGAGGCCAGTCAAAGGTAAATAAGCTTACAAATTTTGTTTGAATCATTGAAATTTTGTTTTTTTTATTAATTTTTGAAATTTTTCTTTTCATATTTTTTTATTATTATTATTTTTCCTCTGAGAGTATTCTCTCTTCTTTCTCTCTTCCTCTCGCTCTCTCTTCGCTCTTCACTCTCTCTTTCTCTCTTTCTCTCTCTCTCTCTCTCTTTCTCTCTCTCTCTCTTTCTCTCTCTCTCACTCTCTTTCCTCTCTCTCTCTTTCCTCTCTCTCTCCTCTTTCTCTTTCACTCTCTCACTCTCTCTCTCAATCTTTCTCTCCACTTTTTTTTTTTTTTATGGCTTTCTGTCTTTGTTTTCAGTTTGACTTAATAAAACAGCTTTGAAGATGAATCTTATTTTTTTGTGATTGCCTTTCAAAGCAATTAGTTTCTTTTCTATCTTTCTCATTGGTTTTTAAACAAAACTTCATTTAACTATTTTCATATCAGAAAGAAAAAAAAACTTGAACACAATTTTACCATCAAAATAATCTTTTCTTTTTCTACCACAAAATACAATGACATTTTCTGGTGTACCCACACCTGATTTCCCCCTTAGAATTGAGGCTCAGTTGAGCGAGTTGCACATAACCTTGTCATTGGTATTAGGCATCATCTCTAAATTAGACCCCCACAAGGCTAGTGGTGGAGACGGGATACCAGCCATTGTCTTGAAAAAATGTGCACCTGAACTAGCCCCTGCCCTCTCCAAATTATATACCTACTGCCTCAATGAATCTTTTTTCCAGCCTGTTGGAAGTCTTCATACATTGTTCCTGTCTTTAAGAACTCTGGAGACCCTTCTGACCCGTCTAATTACCGTCCTATCAGTCTCCTACCACTCTTCGGCAAAGTCTTTGAAGCTTTAATCAACATTGAAGTGGTTATGGACCTTACATCACATGACCTGCTCTCCAACAAGCAATATGGTTTCCGCTTGTCCGTTCTACAGCTGATGTGCTTACAGCTATAACTGAAATTGTTTACCAAGCACTTCATAATAACGGAGAAGCTCATGCCATGGCTCTAGATATCTCCAAAGTCTTTGATAGGTTTTGGCATGCTGGCCTTCTTTGCAAGCTTCAGGGTTATGGAATTTCAGGTTGAATATTTGACAATACAATCATTTCTGTCAAACCATGCATTGAAGGTCGTACTCAATAGATTCTCCTCCAGCTCCTATCCCACAAATGCAGGTGTTCCCCAAGGCTCTATCCTAGGCCCTACTCTGTTCGTTATCTTCATTAACGATCTTCCTAATGCCATAGGTTCCCAAGTAGGCATCTATGCGGACAACCCTACTATTTACTCCTGCCTCAAAAACAAATCTAGTGTCACTGACAAAACAAACCTGACTGTTTGTCTTGAAAAGGACCTCCAATTGTTTGTGGACTGGGGCAGGAATTGGCTGATTAACTTTAATGCCTCAAAAACAAAACTGCTCTCTATTACCCACCACAGAGGACCATCCCTGCCTCCCATTAGAATGTCTGACACTCAACTTCATGAGAGCACCTCTTTGTGACTATTTGATCTCACATTGTCTGCTGACGTGAGATGGAACAATTACATTGAGTCAATAGCTTCATCCACCACTAGAAAATTTGGCTCCCTGTGCCGCGCCATGAAATTTTTCTCGCCAGAGTCTTTCAAATGTACAAATCAACCATTCACCCTTGCATGGAGTATTGCTGCCATATATGGTCTGGAGCCCCTTCTGTTTGTCTCAAGGTCCTTGATAAAATCCAGAGATAGATATGCAATATACTTGGCCCTTATCTGGCATCTTGTCTGGAGTTGCTCTCTCCCAGATGTGCTGTTGCCTCCCTCTGTTTTTATTACAAATACTTTCATGGTAACTGCTCTAATGAGCTGCTTTCACTGGTTCTCAGACTTCATAAATTTAAGTGTTCAACTAGGCTGGTGTCTTACTCTCACCCTTTCACTGTCGAAACTGCTAAATGTAACTGTCTCTTCAAATCCAATAGATTCATGGCTTGCACTTCTCGCCTGTGGAACTCCCTCCCTATTTCTTGTTTCCCTGATAGCTACAATCTCCAACTATTCAAATGTAATGTCAATCGACGTCTCCAGATGCTGTGATCTATCCCCTATCCTTCTCTTCATCCTTTCCTCTATCACACTTCTTTGTTCTCACGCCAACTCTCCGTAACCCCTTGCATACTAGTGGCTTCCTGCCTTGCTTGGGGTGATTCGCAAAGCAGTTTTGTCACTTGCACCAGTTTATCTGATTTGAGTTGAACCGTGTCATCTTTTAGATATTTTAATTTTCTTTGAATCCGTTTTTGTCAGAGTGTATAATCTGTAAGGAAAGAGGTAAAAAATAATCTTTATTTCTTCAGAAAATGGCAGTAGAAAAATGGTTGCTGATGTACCAATTGGATCTGTCCATTTTTGTAGTGCTAGATTCATGGATGAATTCATATTGCCACTCATGTACCTATACCTAGGACATTCAAATCAATACTTGGGAGAGGTCTCCCTGCACTTTCATTACCAAGTAATAGAAAAAAAAAACATCCTGATATGCATCCAGCAATGAAGCCTATATATGCTGCTGCTTTCAACTTTCTCACTCTCCAGCAGTGCCCCCTACTAATTATCTGAATCTCAGCCCAAGGAGTAATGTTTTCTTTTTTTTCTCAATTATGATTTGTTTTCCCTAAGCACTTTCAATGTCAAGCAAAGAAAGACCACACAGTGTTGAAATATATAGTTTTTCCATTTTTTTTTTCTTTTTCTTTAATTTATTTCACTCCAAGCAAGATATTAATGACACTAAAACACAAGCGATTACTGGAAGTGAAAGAGAAGGAGAAGGCTTTAGTAAAGAGAAAGGACTATAAAAGAACAGGTTTCAGGTAGACGGAAGATGGCAATAATGCTACTAAAACACAAGAGGTTACTGAGAGAGAAAGAGGAGGAGAAGGCTTTAGTAAAGAGAAAGGACTATAAAAGAATAGGTTTCAGGTAGACAGAAGATGGCAATAATGCTACTAAAACACAAGAGGTTACTGAGAGAGAAGGAGAAGGCTTTAGTAAAGAGAAAGGACTATAAAAGAACAGGTTTCAGGTAGACAGAAGATGGCAATAATGCTATAAAACACAAGAGGTTACTGAGAGAAGGAAGGCTTTAGTAAAGCCAACTATAAAGAACAGGTTTCAGGTAGACAGAAGACTGATATACACTTAGCCAAGATTCTGCTGCTTTCAACTTTCTCACCCCCCAGCAGTTACCAACATGAGTCCCATAACACAGTAAGGTCACTGAACCACTCCATAAACTGCACTCATAGCAGCAGTGGGTGTAGCTAGAGCAGGATAGCTGGATTTAGCCCACCCTTCTTCAGGTTGGGTTTCAGAATTGCCCTTCTCTTAAACCAATGTTTCCCAAAGTGGAAGGTGAGAAAAACGTGGCAGTGGCACATCTGAGCCATAACATAGACCACACTCACATTACACCTGAAGTTTCTTTCCTTCACTTTATAAAACCATTATTATTATTTGAAATATTAAGATATTCAATCATGCAATACTAGCACCAAGAAAATCCAATCAAAGGTTGACTATACATTTATAGGGAGTGATGTTAGGGTTGTGTTTTGGTATGCAAGTGGGTGGCAAAAGTTTGGAAACCATTGTCTTAAATTGCCCATCTACAACTGGAGTAAACAATGGCTGAAAAGTTGGAAGTATAACAATCAAGATGAAGATGCTGGCCTGAATAGCAAAGTATATAATAATGATAATTCCTCATCTCAAAATACCGATATAAATATTATTAAATCGGTACGAGCCGAAATGTTGTGAGTATAACAACCAAGATGAAGATGCTGGTCTGAATAGCAGAGCATATAATAATTCCTAATCTAAAAAATATCAGTAGTAATATTTTCTTTCTTGTTAAACTTCTAAAACTTCAAATCTCAATTCTTTGGCACGCCCCAGACTGGTTTCCTCCTTAACATTCTAAAATAAAAACAATGCCCGATTTCTTCTCTTTAAATGTATTTAAGAGTAAATTTTATAATCCGCCTAAGAAGACTTGCTATAATTTTCAGACTATTCAACTGAATACTAACACTCTTGACATAGGCATAAAAGTTTGCTGAAAAGTTTTGGGCCTGACAAAGAAGGAATTTCAAAAGAATTTCTCATGTTTGTGCATTTGGTTAGATTTTAACTAAGTGGGTTGGGTCAAGAACTTTTCATCACCCCCTTGTATGTATCTGAGAGATTGAAAGATACTACATATTAAACAATTATTTTCTCTGTCAGTTACATCTACTAAGCGACTAAGGATTTTGACCTGTACACAATAATTAGTAAAGTTCATTAAGTGCTGCTTTAATTTTTTTTATAATAGTTTGTTATATAGACAAAAGATATTGCAATGAAATAAAACTAGTACAATTGGTAGATTTCTTGAATATAGCATAAAATAGTGTATTTAGTAACTCTTCAATTTTTTTCTTTTGAGTTATTTAAGCCACACTAATGTCTGTAGTGAAGTATTTTAACTGATAATTAATACCCAATTTTTTTTCTCTGTGAATTGTAGTGATTGCTGGATTTTTTTGATTTAGCTCTTGTCAAAAATCTTGATATACAACAGCAAGTCAAAAATTATCCATATTTTTGCCACTTTTTGCTTTGTCACACCACCTTCTGTTCATGTGTACTTAAAATGGTACTATTGTCTTCACATGATCAAAGTTTGAGATTGATTGTGCCAGTTTTCTTGCTGCTGTTACAGTATAAACATGACCGTTCCACTAGCAGTGTGTACCAAGGAGGAACAAATAGCAGTGATCACATTTCTCTGGTTGTAAGATTCAGCAAGCTTGAGATATGGTAGTTGCGGACCAGCAAGGTATTATCAACGAGGTAGCATGTTTTCCACAGATTCAGTTCACTGCTCTTTATTCCTCCTTGATGCACACTGTTAGCAGAGCGGTCATGTTTACACTGTAAGAGCAGTAAGAAAACTGGTGAGTCAAGCTCAAACTTAGGTCACATAACCACAATAGTACCAACTATAAGCACGGCATGAGTGGAAGGCAGTGTGGAAAACCTAAAGATATGTTAGGGGAAAAAAGTTTGGATAATTTTTGACTTAACCTCATAGTTAGTCTATTCATTGACTGTGTTAGTATGTTAGTATGTCACTAGTGCATAAGTTGCATGATGTTCTTTTATTGATTAAAGTCTGTTGCTTTTGTCTTGAGACTTGCACTGTTGATTGAGCTTTGATGGATTTGAATGTCTGACAGAAGACAATCTCTCTTTCTCTATGGAAGAAAGA